ATCAGAGCAGTTCTCTAAAAATGTCATATCAAGTTGATTTCTTACTCAAAATTGTCCAGTAGCCTCACACAAAACTCTTTACCTTGGCTCAAATTCTTCTCTAACTTCATTTCCTACTCTTTCCTCTCCCTCATTCCTATTGAACTATGCCAGCTTTTTGTATCTGTCCATATACCCTAGCTTGTTCCCACCTCAGGACCTTAGCAAATTTGAAGACATTTTCTATTTTCTCTTTCTGAATGTTTTTCCCTCAGATATGTATTTGTTATTCATATCATTCATAAGGCCAGAAATGCTTTGTAAAATGTGTATTTTAAAATATAACAGCTCATAAAAACCTGATGTAGTTATAAGTGTGTATGTCAGTGTTTAAAAGCCCAAAGATTAAAAAAAAAATGTCAAAGAACAGGATTTTGAGGCCTGCTGAGTTACAAAAATGCTATTTGTGAAAAAGGTTGATGTAAATTTTTTATGAATGAACTCTAAGTATTTCCAATTACTATTAGGAAAAAGTCCTGAGTGGAATTTTGCTACATTGTCCTTGAAAGTTATTATGGATATGCATATGTTCCCAAAGAGCTGTACAGTATTGCCACTTAACTTTAACCCAAGGTAATATGAAAAAACTTTCTGCTGTATTATTAATAACTGATTTTATTAATAACTGATTATTAATAACTGATATTTTAAAATAGGATACACATGGGCAAATGTTATAAAATATTCTATAAATATGTGAAGGGCGATGGGGGAAATATTAAAGGGTAGTAACTGTATTATTGAAGGAAAAACTCAGCTGTTTAATATTAGCTGGCAGTTACTTTTACTGGCCAACTTTTACATAGTTTTCAGACATTGTTGGCTATCTTAAAGTAAAATTGATTTGTTTCTGTAAAAATAGTTGACACCTGTAAAATGCTTAATGGTCCACAAATGTTTATGCACATCACTTCATTTAGTACTTCAAACTACCTCTGTGAGGTAGGCAGTATTTTCCATGCTTTACAGATAAGAAGTGGAGACTTGTTCACAGGACTTGCCCCGAATCACAAAACCAGTAAACAATGTAGTTTGAATTCAGACTTGGTTCTTCTAATCTCGAAACCTTGAACACCTTCTACAGCATAATGCTGGTGATTTAAACTTTAACAAGCCAGATGAGAACAGGTTCAAGTCACCATGGCATTTGTCCCTAAACTGTATGTGAAGGACTCTGTGTTCCTGTTGACTGGAGTGAGTGAGTGATGAGAGCTAAGTGTCATGTGATGCTGAGCAGTCAGTATCTCAGGAACCTGTTGGCAGTGGAGTCCGCTTAATGTGATTGTCAGATTTTCATTGTTTCCTGAGGAGGTAATATGAATTGTTAATGGCACGAAATTTTAACACATTTTAGTCCTAGGTTTGTGTAAAAAGGCTCCATGAATACTTTTGATTATTAACTTTGTAGGTGTGAGCACAGAGCAATTTCAGCACATGAACATTCTTTTCAACATAATGAGAATAGGCTTGTATCCAACAGAAAAACTGCCTTTCAAAGGAAATTCTTCTAAAAACATCAGGATCCATAGATTATGATTTACTAGAAAAAGAAAAAAAAGTAAGAAAACTTGTCAGTCTAGAAATGATTGGAACTGCTTTTTGTACCAGCCAATGAGAATTTTAAACTTTGGTTTGTATTGCAAATGATTCTTGCAAATTCAATAATCATTTTGAAATAATAATAAAGGTAGCAAAAAATAGGTGTCTTTTTTTTCCTCTTAAATAGAAAATATTTCATCATTTTGGAAACTCATGTAAAAGCTCAATTAAAAAAACTCTTTGAAGGGAAAGAGTTGATTATATTGTAATAGGTAGGTAATTTTTGAAAAGTATAGTTGAATGCCACCTCGTAAAAGGTACTCTTGTAGGAGCTGTAAAAGATATTTATAATGTAAGAAAAAGCCACAACCTCCAGCAGTTCGTTTGACAGATAATGAGATAATACATACACATGCACACGCACACACACACACTCACATTTGTGTTGAAAATTTAAATGACTGTATAAGAAATTATGTGGTGAGTACTAAATGGTAGATACGGACAATATATTCTGGAGGTATTACCCAGTAATTATCAGAGTTGTTTTCCTGAGGAAGGTACTTAGGTAGGTAGTATAGAGTTAGAAGAATATTCTTGGCTGTGAGCAAGTGCCTATCGATGGCAAAAAATCAGAAGCTGTTTTCCCAAAGAAGAAGTGAAGGATTGGGCTGCAAATAAAGGTATAGACCAAGATCATGAGGGACCTTGAAGGAGAGGATGGTTTAAGGAATTTAACATTCAGAATACTTAATTTTTTTACATTTAAATTGCTATGTAAACAAGATGTCTAAAATTTGTTTTTATTTTGAATATGCTTTTGCCTGTGATGATATATTTTTGTTTCTGCTTTGGCTTATTTTCTTATTAAAATCTAACCTGTGAGTTATATCGTCAAGAAAGGATAAAGTATGTTTGAAAATACCCTAAAACAGAAAACTTTTGAACCTATCCCAGAGGATATTTTTTCTTCATTTTCAATGAAATAACTAGCAGAATATTGATATTAATTCTTTTATTTTAAATTGGAAGTTTAATTTCTAAGTTAAATGTGGAAAAGCACCAGCACATCTAGTTTCTTCTGGTCTATATTGCAGTCTTACACCTGCCTTTTAATGAAAATAGTATCAAGTTCTCTTACAAAAGGACAGAAACTGTTAAGGAAACCTTAAAGAAACACCCTTTCCCCCTCTAAGGCAGATGAAAATCTGCACATGGAGCTGAAAATCTTTCCCTTTTCTGAACACAAAATTTCATAACACTTATTTCTGTTCTTCTTTTTTGGAATATACCAGTGTAAACCTTTCCCCCTATTCATTTATTCTGAAATGGCTTGCCTTTTCTTAAGTCGAATGTGAGGTTAGATTGTGTAGATTGGTATATGAGTGCAGCTGTGGATGTGTCCCAAGATAACCACCTTCTGTAACTTTAAGGTTGAACCATTACCCCTGTCCCTACTAGGCTTCATTTGGCCTTTTAAAAAGGATACTTTTCCTTTCAGTCTTTCTAGCCTGAGAACTGATGTCAGCAGTCTTTTAACTGGTATTTGGTACACAAACTGTACTTATCTCCATTAACTCACTTGATTTCATTTCTGTGCTTGTTTTTAGATGCTTGAGAGTTTCTAAAGCAGCTTTTGAAGGAGACTCCAGTAGCAAACAATTAACATCACATTGAGCTTTGCAATAAGCCTGCTCTGTTCAGGTCAAAGCAGGAAAAGATAGGACTGCTTTCAGACTGCTTTCTGAAAGGAAACGTATTAAAAGAAGGAGAAAAAACCTTTAAATCGCAAATGACTCTAGATAGATAATAGTGAGGCATCTATGTAGAATGTTAACACTTGAAGAATTTCAATGAGGATATATGGAATTTCTGTGTACCAGTCGACTACTTTTCAGTAGTTTGACATTTAAAATAAAAAAAGTTACCAGTATTTTACCACAGTAATAATAACAAAAAGATTTTAAGAATATTACCAAAAATAATCTCAGAGGATCAGCAATTTTTTCTAGATTATTAATGAGAACTACCTCTGGCATTAATGTCTTTCATTTTTCTTTTCTACCTTTCCTGATATCCAACATTAATTGTACTTTAATAAAGATTGAATTAAACAAATTAATGACCTGTGCCAGCGTGTTCAGTGAGGAAAGATCTTCCCACAAAGCATCATGGAAGCTTTGTTCATTTGCAGCTCCCTTCAACACGTTTAAGTTGTCTAGTTTATTTCTTTGAACCTTGAGGTTTCTTTTTCATTCAGTCAGATTTGGGTTAATTACTCCAAACACAGAGTCTTTTGGTGAATCTTTTCTCCACTTTTCAAAACTGTTGAGTTATGACCCTAATTAATTGTGTGGCTGCACTCTTGTACTGTGTTTACACTCATATTGTAGGGAAAGTTACCCCAAAAGAAGAGAGATTAGCAAGAAGAAATGTCGCTGACACCTGCCACAGAGCCTCGCGTGTGATAAGTGCCCTGTGACTATTTCTTGGACCACTGATGAATGAACAAATGGCCAACAGTAGTTACTTACCACCTACTAAGCCCTTAAACTTAAATCCTCTCAACAGCTTCATCTGTCCATCTCAGCATGTCTGTTGTCAGCACTCCCCAACTCTCCTTTGTTAGCCGCCTAAGAGAAAGGTAACCACCAAGTGCAGCATGGTGGACCAGTTAATGCTTTGAAGTTTTGCTGTCTGGGCAATTTTGCATTATCTGGAGAATGTCTTATATGTATACAGTGTACCCAAACATTTGTTTAATAAAATGATAGAAGAGATTGTCAATATATTTAATCAAAAGTAGATATTCAAACAGTGGTTTCTGTTTGACTTTGGGATATGTTGTTATATGTTTCTCAATGCATATTGACTTTCTTATTTTCTCATAACAGTTGATTGGTATCGTTTGGAGACACATGACTTGTATGCTTTTGTTTTTGGGTTCTAAAAGAGCGTTAAAAGTATCCTTTTAGATATTACACAAACACACTATTTGATATTTTGTGTTATGTATTTTATATACTAATTTACATCATATCTTTATGTGATATATGATATTGACATTTTAAAAATACAGTATATTGTATTTTATTTGTCTCATATTGCCTTTCTGTAGAATGTAAGTCAAGAGGGAGGAAGAACTTTGTCTGGTTCACCACACTTTGCATCCAACACTATACCTGGCATGGAGTAGGCACTCAATAAATGTTGTAATTAAAAAGCAGATGCTTTGTACAGCATGGTAACTGTAGTTAACAGCAATAACAAAGCAAATGTTTATCAACAAGTGGCTTATTGCTAATTTTATTTGTAGTTTACTGAGTGCTCTAGTTTAGTTCAAATAGTCTTATTCATTTTTAGTGATTGTCAGACCTGACCTTATATTTGCTTTCTTTTGTTTCTTTCTTTTTTTTTCTTAGGAAGAATCCCCAGCACAAGATAGAATATAGACACAGTACATTTCCAGGTAAGTAATTTTACTTGAGGAAATTCAAAATGAAACCTTCAGGTGGATTCTCTTGTTAAACCTAGAGACAAAAAAAAAAAACAACCTAGAGACAGTTGCCACTTATTTTAATGAGTTTTTTTAAAATCTCTGCTTCTGTGAATTTGTTGAATTATTGATTTTAATGATTTTCTTAGATTTAAAAATGATAAATTTTTATATAGAAGATTTTTTCTTCAATCATTGTCTAACAGTGTATATATATTTTCCTTTGTATCTGTTAAAATTATTTTGTTTGCAGGTACCTTAAAACGAAATCTCCAACTGGCCTGAATGATAAAGAGAGCATATTGATTTCTTTTACTGAAAAGTCCAGAAGTAGGGCTAGATTAGACAAGATTTGTTGCTTCAGCTCATTAATAATGTCAATAATGTCACCAATAACACACTTTCCTTCCATCATACTGTCCTTAGAGGAGTGATTTTTATCCTAAGACTGGCTGCTCTCCCCAGCAAGGAACTATATACATCCTTATTCAGCTGGGATGATAAGCATCCATGTTTACACCTAAAGAGAGAGAGAAAACAACTTTGATTCTTGCTATTCTTAGGAAAAATCATGAAACTAACTTAAAAAAAAAAAACTGGTTTAAATCACATTCTTATTCTTGAATGAATCACTGTGACCACTGATTAGTTTGTTCTGCCCTTGGAACCAAAATAGAATCTCTTTCTTCAAAACCAGAGATCCTTAACAGAAACTCTTGTTTTGGGGAAGAGAAGTAGGGGACAAACACCAAAGCAACAACTATCGAATGACCATCAGTCCTGCTTACATCAACCAGTTTTGCCTTCTGTTTCCTTTGCTTCTGAACTCTAGTATTTTTTCCCTTTAATAAATTCTGGCTTCTTTGTATCATTTATATAATGCAGTGGCCAGTTCAGCATCCAGTATGTCTGCCCACAGAGTGAGAGAATAAACTGTATACCAGGCTATGCCCACATGCATTTGTATATGTATAAACACAGCCAACCTGTAACCAGGTGATAAAAATAATTTCACCACAAGGGAATTCTATTTACTGTTTCTTATTAAAGCACACTTTAGTGTTTTAATACTCCAGATACAAATATGATCACTTTATCTCAGTTAATATGGTATGGAGGTTATATGTTATACTTTCCTTACTGAGGCTGTATCTGAAGCTATAGCATTTATGGTTGTTAACTTTCAAAAGTTCAAAAATATTACTTTGAACAATAATATAATAATATTTGATTAAAACTCTGTTTTATTGACAAATTTTAGCATTTTACCATGAAAGAGCATTTGACAGATTTGTTTATCTTTGTAGAAGTAGGAACCATTTACCTGAAAACTGTCAATATACATCATATGGTATTGTTAAAAAGTACCTCAGTTTTCTTTGAAAAATCTCTTTGAATTATCATTGAAGTATCTTCAGAATGAAGAACATAATTTTAGAATATTTAGCTTTTTTTTAAGAAAAAATTTTATTTCATTGGAAATCCTTTTTTTAAAAATAGGATATTTTAACATAACAGTTTAGCCTTATATATTTAATGTATTTTCAAGAGTTGTTACGTGGCAGTATAGTCAGGATATCTCTTCCCACTATAAAATGTATAAATTAAACTCTCTGGGGTATTTAAAATTTTATATTGTAAGTCTCACTATATTTCTTAGAGATACCTGACATACAATTCTAACATACATGTTTTTATTATTTCCAAAATCCTTAAGGTTTAGCATTACCCAGATTTTAATCTCATTTATGTAATGATTCACTTATGCATGCATTTATTCATTTATTATATGACTTCCAAGTGAGCAGAACTACAGAGATACATGAAAACCAGCTGTGGATCCATATGCTTGTGGTGAGATGCTCTACAATCTTGGAGAAAAGAGATGGAGTACTTTTTGTTACAGTTAATCAGGGTAACTTAGTGAGGGAATTTTAAGTAAAGTTGGTCTTTAATGTGGTAGGATTTCAATTATCTTTGTTTCTTAGCATTGGGTAGGTGGGTATAGGATATCCTAGGCAAAGTGAGTAATAGATTGGTCAAGGACATTGAGGTAGAAAATAATAAGTTGTGTTTGGAATTAGAAGGTGGGTCAGTTTAACTGACAGGGAGAGTCTCTGCAGTTACTGTGAATGAATGATACTCTTGTTCAGTCACTAGATCATGTCCAATTCTTTGTGACCCCATGGACTGCAGCACATCAGGCTTCCCTGTCCTTTACTGTCTCCCAGAGTTTGCTCAAATTCATGTCCATTGAGTCAGTGATGCTCTCTTAAATATCTCACCCTCTGCCGCCCTTTTCTCCTTTTGCCTTCAGTCTTTCCCAGCTTCAGCGTCTTTTCCAATGAGTCGGCTATTCACATCATGTGGCCAAGGTTTTGGAGCTTCAGCTTCAGCATCAGTCCTTCCAGTGAATATTCAGTGTTGATTTCCTTTCGGATTGACTGGTTGGATCTCCTTGCAGTCCAAGGGACTCTCAAGAGTCTTCCCCAGCGCCACAGTTCTAAAGCACCCATTCTTCAGTGCTCAGCCTTCTTTGTGGTCCAACTCTCACATCTGTACATGACTATTAGAAAAACCATAGCTTTGACTAGACAGACCTTTGTCAGCAAAGTGATGTCTCTGTTTTTGAATATGCCATCTAGGTTTGTCATAGCTTTCTTCCAAGGAGCAAGTGTCTCTTAATTTTGTGGCTGCAGTCACCGTCTACAGTGATTTGAGAGCCCAGGAAAAGAAAATCTGTCACTGTTTCAACTTTGTTCCCATCTGTTTACCATGAAGTGATAGCACTGGATGCCATGATCTTAGTATTCTGAATGCTGAGTTTTAAGTCAGCTTTTTCACTCTCCTCTTTTACCTTCATCAAGAGGCTTTTTAGTTCCTCTTCACTTTCTGCCATTAGGGTGACATCATCTGCATATCTGAGAGTGTTGATACCTCCTGACCATCTTGATTCCTGCTTGTGTTTCATCCTGCCCTGCATTTCTTATGATGTACTCTGCATATAAGGTAAATAAGCAGGATGACAGTATACAGCCTTGTTATACTCCTTTCCCAATTTGAACCAGTCTGTTGTTCCATGTCCAGTTCTAATTGCTGCTTCTTGACCTGCAAACAGGTTTCTCAGGAGACAGGTAAGGTGGTCTGGTATTCCTATCTCTTTAAGACTTTTCCACAGTTTATTGTGATCCACACAGTCAAAGGCTTTTGCATAGTCAATGAAGCAGAAGTAGATGTTTTTCTGGAAGTCTCTTGCTTTCTCTATGATCTGTTTGTTGACTGTGAATGATACTAGAGGAATGCATTGAGGTCAGATTGTAGAAGTCCTTGAAAGCTAGACCAAAGATGTGGGTGTGGTGACAAATAACCACACACACAGCTTAATGATGAGCTGTCCGAATCAGAGTAGAGGAAGCCTTATGGATATTAGTTAGGTCGGTGAATGAAGGACCAGAACTGGGCTGCCATGAGAATGGAAAAACAGGATTTGATACAGGTGAGATTTTGAAAGAAGAGTAATGAGGAATTTCCAACTGATTGGCCGTGGTGTGGGGGATGGGATGAATCAAAGGAAATAGGAATGATTGAAAGTTAAAGTACAAATTATCAGGAGCTTCAGTTCAGTTCAGTCACTCAATCGTATCCAACTCTTTGCGACCCCATGAATCGCAGCACGTCAGGCCTCCCTGTCCTTCACAAACTCCCGGAGTTTGCTCAGACTCATGCCCATCGAGTCAGGGATGCCATCCAGTCATCTCATCCTCTGTCGTCCCCTTCTCCTCCTGCCTTCAATCCCTCCCAGCATCAGGGTCTTTTCCAGAGAATCAACTCTTCACATGAGGTGGCCAAAGTATTGGAGTTTCAGCTTCATATCAGGAGCTTAGAGATGATAATAGAAATCAGGAGGAAAAACCCACCCCACCTCAAATTTAACATGTATAACTTAAAAAAAACCAAACCCACATACTACCTAGTTTTTCCTTCTGATTTCATATCAGGAGCTTAGAGATTATAATAGAAATCAGGATGAAAAACTAGGTAGTTTGTGGATTTGATTTTTTTTTAAAGTTATACATGTTAAATTTGAGATGGAGTGTCAATAACCTATAATAAAACAATAAAAGTTATAATAGAGACCCATATACTATGTACCAACTACTCTAGAATTTTATAATATAAAATAACTATATGAAACTATTTTATTATTTAATTTCTGATTTGTAGCGCTTCTAAAACACTTCAGACTAAAATTTTCCCACACATGTAATAATTTATGCCATATATTTTGATTTTTGTAGGTTTGACTGTAATCATCTGTTAAGCTCTTGTTTATCTAATTGGTTTAAAGTTTTACTAGCTTTCCACACTTTATCAGAGTGCTACATACAGTTTTAGCACAGCACATCGAGTAAAAGAGTAATCAGTGCTAGGAAATTTTTATTTTAAACTTTCTTAGCTACCTTACTTGCTGACAACATTTGAAAGAAATTATCATCAGTGTTATATCACTTGATTATTGGAGTCATTCTCTCTGGCTCCTATTATTATGTGACAGTCATGAGTTGAGGGGATCCGTACTATTCATGGCTGAAATTTAGAATGTTCTACCCATCTGAAAACTATTTCAGTATTTCTCTAGTTCTCCAATCGTATGCATACATATGCTTATATAGGCTTTTTTATTTTCAGAAGTAGAAACTAAAAGATCTAGAAAGTAAGCTATTAAGTAAGGTTAGTGATGCTAAATGGGATTTTGTAAACTGCTGCTTACTGTGGGAAAAGCTGAGAGATTTTAGAACATGAAAAAGGCAAATGCAGTGGTGTTTTTAAAAAGAAATAAACAATGTATTAATATAATAAAGTGGATAGGCCTGCACAAACTGCTTTTCCAAAGTTAAAATATGAATACCCGACTAGTAGCTTGGTTCATTACAAAGATCAGTATTCAGTAGTAAAATGAGGCATTTAAACAT